TGAATGGCACACATGAGAATGAAAACGGTCAACATGCAGGTTCTGAAAAGGTAGCTCGCGTACATCGAACCAGCCGCGGGTACCAACTGGCCGTATTTAATCCAGGGCTGAAAAGCCTGGCAGAGCTGTGCTAGGCGTGTAAGTGCAACACAGCAGCATCATTAAAATGAGGTATCCTCAGTGATCTCGGGTAGGTCTTGATATTCTGCTCAAACAGTTTTTTTAATGGTTGATCGGCCTGCTCTCATATTCTTGGAGCAACAGTAACAGACTCTTCGATCCTGGGCTGCATCCCTTCATTTAGTGCTTCCGCTTCGACGTATGTGCGCCGCTCCTCCATGCGTAGATATACAAATGAAAATTCCATATTGGTTGCTCGCTGTTTTCTGATGTTGAAAGACCAGTTTGATAGCGTTTGCTCGCAGTCCACAAATATTATTAATTTTAAAAAGTGTTGCATAGTTCAGTCGTAATTCATTTCAGATATGCAAGTTACTGTTTGGCGTGCTGCGCAAGGTGAACAATGGTGATTTCAATAGCAGCAGCGAAAGCAACAGTTCAACGAAAAAATCCAATTTGTCTTCAAAAAGCTCAGCGAAAATCGCTGAGAATTGTGCTGCGAATTCAGGCTCGTGTTCTGGGCTGACGCCGGACAGCACTGGTTTTGATGAGGCAACTATCAGAAATTCACTTGACCCATCGGTTGCGGAAAAATTGTCTTTGATGGAGTTTTTCAACTTTTATAAGGATATCATTGAGCGAGTAGATCGGCTAGCTGAGGAAGATTACAAACGACAGGCAGCACTACACGGTCTTCAGCCACAGCCCCCAGTCAGAAGAGGCAAGGTTTTGCAAACGAGTGACGATTTCATTCGCACATTACTTGGTGCTAATTACTGGCCGACTAGTCCGAGTTGTCCAGCAAAAGAATCATCACGCCCGAAAGTTGATTCTGTTCGCCCACAGGTTGTTACAAATGACACGTCGGCTAGTTCTGATCATCCTCCGATTGATACAAAGGATTCGTGCAATTATTCTGCCCAAAACAAGCAGAACCTCGTCAAAAAAGGCCCATCTACTCCAAATAGAAGAAGATATGCACGAAAAAAGGTGTCTCGAACTACTTCTCTGCCCACCATCGAGGAATCGTGTGAATTATCATTCAGTGAAGTGAATGATTCGCCAAAAAATCTCGACACGGAAAAGCATTCAAATGATGCGGCATCCTTGCTCTCAGCAGCTAAGGGCAAATCACACGCAGGTCTTGAAACAACTCTTGTTAAGAACGAGAATGTAGATTCTCTTAATAATATTGAGAACATCAACACGAAATGCAACGATAAAACGCTTGCAAAAGAATTTCCACAATCCTGCTCGTCATACACGGCTGTTGCAATAGCGCTCATATACGGCCAGAAGTTGTTCGCTGGCAGTCTTGGCGATTCGAGGTGCCTTCATTTGATTCTCTCGGAACTGTTCTGCACTCCAAATAATTATAAACTTGTATCAAATAATATATTATTTCACCATTTTTTATAAATTGGTTGGGAAGCCTATAAACTAAACTCCTACTACCAAATTGAAAGGATTGTGGCGGGAGGATTACATTTTCTTCAATTATTTCAGATTTCACCTGGCAAAAAAAAAACTGTAGTCTGCGCGCAAAATCACTTCATTATGTTGTTGCTGCTTTTCATCGACATTAGCTGCAATTCCAAACGGAAATTACACAGCCCGTGTCCACCGCTGCCCTCCTTCTACTCGCTCTCTATCAGAGGCAACCGCACTGGGAAGCAAATAGCAGCTGTCGGTAGCAACCACACACTGACAAGACTGTCGATGATTCCCTCTTTCGAAAGTTGCTCGGAAGTGAACTCATTGCGGAATTGATTTTCTGGTGCACGGCAGCAACCAGTTCACTATCGAAACGAATGAACGAATCATAGAACTGACTGTTGCACCAATCAGTCAAACTTTTGACTTTCTATACAAGGGCAGTGCTGCTTTCCATTGTATCGTGCACACCGGAAAAAATACTCTGGAATATTTTTTAAAATTTTTTGATGAAAGCTTTGTTTTGAAAAAAATTATTTGAATGGTTAGTTAAAGTACTAGTAGCTGGTTTTTTTTTAACAGAGCAGCGAATAAAAAATGGGTTATAAAACCATTCCCTTTTAACTTTTAGCAAAAAGTATTAATTTGTCGTGTCTTCCAGATTCAATCACTTTGCTTCTAGTTGCTTTAGTGATTGCTTTCACTTGAGCAGTGTAAAGCCTACTGAGTTGCTTCTAAAATAATTCAAAATATAAAAAGCAAGTTTTTATGTCGCACTTTGAATTGCTAGTGTACGCCTTATCTCTTCTGTTTGCAAAAGTGGCAAACGAAATGGAATTGGATTGTTAGCGTCTTATACAGATAATAGTGTATTATTTTCAGTGCATAGTCAACCCACCATCACAGGTTGCAGCTTCCTAAGCAGCACTTTAGCACTGTGGGTGTATTTTTATGAAGGAGTACTGATATTGCTCAAATTTGATGCTTAATTTTGCTAAGTGTTTCCATTTTAGGGTCATCCTGATTCGAGAGAAGAATCAGCATCTGCATGTTGTTCATGTGAACGAGCCACCGTATCCTTGGTATCCTGTAAGCTTTATTTTTTGGTTAATTTTGATGTCTGCTAATTGCATATTTCGACTAATCTCTCTTAATTGGTTGATTTCATAATGCAGCCCTTGTTCAAGGAGTTAGTTTGTTGTTAGACCACACACTCTGAAGGACTCTAGTTATATTTACTGACTGTATATCCTTCTCTGCATCATTTTGAATATTGAGCTACTTTGGTTCTTAACTAATTTCTGGAGTTTATAGGCCGGGCAGCTACAGAATAGGCAAGTTAGGTAAGCAAAAAAAAAAAAAGCCAGAATTCCAAATCCTTTATAAAACACAATATTTTTTTATAAACGGAGATAAACTTTGAAACGAATTTGTTAGGTGCAGTGCATTCCGTTCTATTTTATATGAAGTAACTAAAGCTAAAAAATTTATAGCTTGCCAGCGCCACGGATTTTGGTATATGAGCAATTACTAAAACTCGGGTCGGCTCGGCTCGTGTCTTACACGACTAGCCAAAAATTTTTTGTATGTACGACGGGTAGGGTTGCCCGTTAAGCCCTGTGCTACAAATACGGTGAGGGCTATTGAAACCTAAAA